GCACAGGGCTTACAGTGGCTGTTTTCAGTCTGCACAGCTCCTCCTCGCGCTCCTCTATGCAACTCTTGAGCTCATCGATCTGTGTAAGGAATGAGAAGAGGTAAACAGAGATAGATTTAGAGTACAGACAGGATTTACTATATATTATATAACACACCATGATTCCATTGTCTAAGTGATTTTATTCTGCAATATTACTTTTTTTGGTAAACATTAATAATAGTTCATTACTTCAGACATATTACTACTTGAAAAGATAGTTTAAAGGCCAAAGATTAATATTCTTGTAATTTTTACGTTTCTTTTATTATCTTTTCTTTTTAATGACTTGTTTTGAAATGCTATTTTATAATGTGTTTCCACTGCACTATTTCTTAATGCTCATAATGTCTTTCATTTTTGTAAAGCACTTGGAATTGCCTTGTGTTGAAAGGTGCTATATAAATAAACTTGCCTTGCTTCATTATTACAAACTGCATGACTTATATTGTAATGAGACTAGATTCAAACACAATAAACTATTTGTGATAAATGATGTATGGATTTCCTGAAGGAGATTGTTCCTAAATGGATAAAGCATTCAGGATTTCTCTAATATGCAGCTGCCTACCTGCTGCTGGAAGGTCTGTATACGAGAGTGTCGGTCCAGATCCTTCTCCTCCAGCTGGGAGTGCAGCAGACGGAGTTCCCCCCTCAGCTTACTCCTCTCCCCCTGCAGCCCGTACAGAGACTCAACCAGCCGGTGAACCCCAGCTTGTGTCCCTGCATCACCGATGGACTCACCTGGGGGATATAAACAAGGAACATTCAAATCAGCCTATGCAGCAGCACCATCATACGGCCTGGATATTGATGGCATAACAAAAAGCTAAAATAACAGCAGCTATATTATGCCATGTTCAGATCAATATTCATATTCAGATAACCAATAATAGTACAATAGTCGTTTGAACCTCCTCTGACCTGTTTTTTTATCAGTTTTTCTTGTGACAAATTCCTGCAGTACGCCTAAATGCTTGTGTGTGTTTATTATTAATGAACATTAACTATGCACTTAAAGCTCTTTTAGAAAGCCTGTAGTCACCAGTGAGGTTAACATTATCGTTTCCACCCTCAAGTCCCCTGGGCGTCTTTAAAGATCTATGCAGGATTGCTGCAGCTTCTCACGTGCAGCTTGGAGCATTGAAGATAATTTAAACAAAGCAACAGCCTGCTCAAATAAAAACTCCATGGAGCATGCCCCGCAGCATTTTCAATGACTTTGCTCCTATTTCAATGATTTATCAGGCCCTGTCAACTCCTATTATCATCACAAGGCCTTATGCTAATTTTATAAATGTCGACAAGTCAGGTTTGCTGTCACAATGGGGCAGGGAGAAGAGGTGATGTGAGGGAAAGACAACAACAACAACAACAATGAAGCAAAGGCTACAGCTGTGCATCAAGGATCTTAAAAGAAACAAGCATCCCCTCTCCACTTAGGCCTGCACGTTGCACAACAGTAAACAAACAGACCACACACCCTTGTCACACTTGGGGCATTGACTCCGGCTATTTTTAGTCCAACACAAGTACACGTGGCTCCTTGCATGTGCCAAGACGTGTAAGTGCATTTGCAGGGAATAAAACATAACTCTGAGCCATGTTTTATTCAAGAAAGAGAGCCAAAGAATCACTATCCCTGTACCCAAAGAACCTCACCACGGAATCATGTATCTTTTTCCTGTGGCTAATGAGATTCAGTACGCATGAGATCCTCCCTTTAACCACACCTATACGCACTGAGATTCATATAACCCCCAGGTTATCATATGGGCACATTTCTCCAAGACTAACAGTCAGCATCAGGACAGGATTCTGATCTGCCTACTATAGCTTCATGCACTTTTTAACACGCTATACTGTACATTACACATGAAAGTGATGTAATACAGTGCAGCCTATACGGCTATCCTACTGCTCCGAGGTCAAAGAACCATCTGGTAAGATCTGAAACACAGCAGAGACCCACATCTAAAGCTTTTAGGTCAATTGCAGCTGCACAGAGTTAGTCTGGCCTCTTGACTTACATGCAAATCTAATCAGTCTGCTCCTCTGCTGAAGACTGTATTCTTCTATACAAAGTGTACAGTATCCCAAGTTGAACAAAATCTAATCTAGGGTGGGCCAACAATGGCAAATCCCCATGACTGAAGTGAACTACTAAGACACTATCTTGGGAACTGATGACTCACTCTCAAATCCTACTCACTTTGTTATATAATGATGGAAAGGACTGAGCCTTCATAGGTTTAAAGGAAAACCCATCTTATCGTTATTCTGTAACCCAGGATAGACACCTGTTATGATGAGCATGTGTAGTCATCATCCTCCATCCATCACATGATCTCCCCCAATCTGAAGTCTCATATCCATTTGAAGACTGCAGGGCAATTTTCTGCTTCACACCAACCAATCTACTTCTGGTTATTAAAACAACCACTCGACCTCTGCCTCTCTGTTTTTCATCCTCCTCACACCTACCGGAAGGAAATTGAAAAACCCATTCCTCTTGCACCTTAATTGCCCCCTCCCCCTCCTTTTTTTCTTCTCTCCTTCCCCTAGGTGACCATTCCCTCTCCCCCTCACCCTCGCTCAGCGGGCTGGGGGTGTGCTGCTGGCTGATGGCTTCCTCCAGGCTGCTGATGATGCTGCTCTTGTCCCTGAGGCGCTGGCGGTATGACGCTCGTAGGGCCTTCATTTGTCTGCGGTGCTTTACGCGGTGCCTCTTCAGCTGGACCCGGTACTGGTCGGCCTGCTGCTGCAGCTGCTGGAAGTGGGAGTACTGCTCCAGAAAAGTCAGCAAGTGGGACATCACCGCCAGCAGGGGAGACTCTGTCGGCTGAGCAGCACATAGGGAGTTACTATTTGAGGAACTTCTCATTTATGCATCAGGTGGGGAGCTAAGATTAGGTGATGACAGTTTGGTCACCTTTCCTGTTGTTTCCACCTGGACCTGGGAGACCCTCCTCTTCTCAGCCTCATGCTTGAAGGACAGGAAAGCAGCTAGAGGAGTGCATGCTGGGATGTCGGGGCCTTCTGCCTCACCTTCATCACTCAGAGACATTTCATCACTGTCACTGCTACTGCCTGGATGAAAACAAATCACAAAAACAATGAAGAGTAAAGGAATGTATATACTACATATTCAATAAGTAGAATCTACCCACATCATAAATGTTTTATTAATCTTCTATATTACGCTGGACAAAAAAAAGCAGCTATTTGAGCACTCACTGGATTCACCACGCTGAGCACAAGCCTTCTTCCCCATTTTGGAGGTGTGGCCATCTCTCCTCCTTCTCCCTGTTTCCATGGAAACGGGTCTTGGCTCCTGAACACAGCAACATGCATTAGGGTCAGATGGTAATGCACAGGCTAAATATTTACATATTGCATCCACAGAAATCCACAAAATGAGCAAAGAAAATGAAAACACAAATGTATACATGCTCTATGACAGAGCCCTTCTGTACTGTCGGGGGGTAAAGATGACGCAGGCATGTTCCCTGAAATAAAAAGGACTTTTCCTCACGGAGGACCCCCGAGGTTAGACATGATGTGGCTAGACATACATTTGAAGAAGATCCACATGCCCCCTCCAAAGCTTCATCCTCCTCTTCCTTCTTGAAGACGGTGTAGAAGATGTAGACTAACAGGGAGTAGAAGGCGTACATTGCTACGCCGTCCAAGAGTCCCTGTAAATGACACATAAACTCAGTAAATAATCTCTATCTTGCAGCAGAAAAGCACACAATTTTACTTGAAGTCTTTCTGATAATCAAAGGAAGAATACATGTAAAAATAACAGTTAAAAAAAAAAACACAATACATCAGGACTTCTCAAGAGACACATTTTCTTCTTTTTTTGATGTCACTTCATTCCATCAAGCTGAGATGTTTCTCTTTTACCTTTTCACATTTCTGTTCCTCTTTGGTGATGACAATCTGACATCCCAGTCATTGGTATTCCCCTCTCACACTCCATCTGTGTTGACAAAGAAGAATCCTCCCATGCAGGTTTTGTTCTCAGAGCTGCAACAGCATCCCAGCGCTGTGTGCAGCTCCTCTGTGTCTCCCTCTCTGTTTTCTCTCCTCCTCCTCCTCCTCCTCTCCACTTTGCTCCATCTACAGGCTGCATCTGCACGAGCATGCTCAGTGCAGTTTACTGATCCGCTGCAGTGTGAAGTGACAGTTTCTGTATGGAGACAGATTGAACCAGGAGCCGTTGGTGGTGATAACAGAGAAAGGGGTGGAAGAGATGTGCCCGGCTCCAGGTGTTCATAACAATCAGATACTTCAACGTATTGCACTTGCAATATTTGATGTTTCCAAGGACTGTTATGGTACAGAAGTTGGCCACAAGACAAGAAGCCTGTGTAACGCAGTGGGAAATGATACTCTGTAACTAAAAGTAATTTTTTCAGATGCATTTAAATAATTTATTCAAGTTATGTCAACTCAAAATTCCTTTAGTTTTCACATTTTTGTTAACAAATTAAAAATAAATAAAATACAATATGTGACATTTTAAAACATATGAATGTTTCCAATAAAGACTTGACCTTAATGATGAATCACAGCACAATCAGCACCATCCTTTTGCAACCCAAACTCAAAGGCGTGTACAGAATGAAATACATTTTTAAATATCCCTGGTCACCTGTGTGCTGAGGTCTGACAAAGGCATTGTTCCACAGACAGGAACACAGCCACAAATCCTTGTTGTTTACTGCAGTAAAAATGCTGAGGCAGCTGCTTACAATTCTGAAATCCTGAGAGAGAATCTGCAGTGTTCACATGGCTGCACAGAATACGGAAATGTTGCTAGGATAACAATGTGGGCACAATGTTAAACAGATGAGGTCATTTCTGCAGCCAACCATTATGTAAAATGTCTACTGATAAGTATCAAACGAGCATGGTGAGGTAAGAGCAGGACCAAGAGCTCAGACCACTGCAGATATGGAAACAGTGATACTGCAGAACAAATGGGACCCAGACTCTGAAGCAGCTAGATGTTGAAACTTTTAAAGAGATGTGTGCAGGCTTCTAACAGCCTGACAGTGAATACAGCCGGCAAGACATTCTCTAAAATGATCAAAGATTAAATTAAACCGCCCACGTGCTGGCGAATTCAAATTGAACAGCATAATTAATGTCAGGAGGGTACTCCAATATGTCTAATAAAGGTCATTGCTGCATTACAGTCATGCAGACCGTGGGCTATCAGTTTTAAATCGTTGCCGGATACTCACATGCAAATGACTTTGTTCAGTGGCATCTGGGTTTTGTTAATGCTTTGTATTTTATTCAAATAAAGTTCCTACTAAATTCAGCCAAGGTCTATGCTTAGCAGATACTGTAAACCCAACCTGGGACTTCATTGGAACTACGAATAATTGACTAAATCAGATATCTGAATGATTTCTGAAATACTTGGAAATGTAAGCTACAATACTCCGTTACCGGCATGTGGAATATTTGGCTTGAGTTTTCATTTTCAAACACAAAGCGTGATACAAAATAAATAAGCACTTGTGAAAATTCATGTTTCATATATCTCAGCCTTAATGATTGTGTTAAATAATAATTGTATTAAGTCCTTAAACATAAAATATGTGAAGCATGTTATACTTTAGTGCATGTGGCCTAAAAAAATGAAGAAAGAAATGTAAATGTTTACATTGTCTTTCTGAAAATCTTAAATGAATCATATTATCTGTAAAATAATGTCAGAATATATTTTAAAATGTTTCCAAGTGCGCAAGGTGAACTCTTTGGATTGCTTTTTCTCTCAACAGTCTTTATCTCAATGATATTTGTTTTATGATGACTAAACAAATAAAAAAGCAGCAATTCCTCCATCAGCTGTTGTGTGGCATTTTTCGAAATAATCAATAATTTAGAAAATGTATTGTATATATTGTATCATTTCATTTTCAGTCAATTTACTAATCGATGAATCCACTTCTCACTCCAACTCTACTGCAATCTTTGTATACCTTAAAATACAAGATAAAATGTATTATTATTATTAATATTAATATAATAAAAATTAATCCAGTTAAAAACATCCTGAAAAAGTTTGTTGTAATCGCAAAAATTGTGCAGCACAACTCTTTTTCAGAATTGTTCTGAAATGCTAATAAGTTATGCACATTCACTTTTGCATGGGTCAGTACCAGTTGACTTTTGTACTGTTGTGTATGTTGTCCAAGTCCATCACTATACACGGATCCTGACTCATCATACAGATATCTACAGATTTTCTAAAGGTCCATGACACATTGCTCAGTCACATCCAACAGGAACTTGCCAAGGGCCTGTGTGGAGGCCCAACAGCCCACAGACATGATGCCCTTTAAAAGCCACTTGATGAGTCCCTCAGTTGCAGCTTGAGAAATGAGTGGAGCGAAAGTGTTTGTTCTGACCCTCTGAGCCAAAAGCAATGGGAGGCTGAGGGCCACACCGCCAAAGGCCCCTAAAGCATTCCCGGCAAACAGACAGACCGTCAGACAGCAGGACAGGGAAGACAAACCGAGGCAGCGGGTCATCAGCGTGAGAGCATCGGCTGAGAGCCAGTCACACAGACCAAGCAGTAGACAGGAGCCACACAGGAGGGTATGTGCTGTGTTGTGGTCTTCACTGAGCCACAGGAAGTCGAAGGAGACCAGCGCTGGAGCCAGAACCTGGGCGGTCCACTCTGCTTCTCTCTGTAAAGACGTGAGGTATGAGCTGGAGGGCTGCACGATGCACAGTGCTGCAGAGAGTCCGAGCAGGAAGAGGCCTACTGAAGGAGCCCTGTGATCCTACAGAGAGACAAATGCACAGGCAGTGAGCCTTATGATTCTAAATGAACAAGGCATTGTGATAATACACTGAACAAGTAGGATACATTGGAATGATTCTTCAATTTTATTTAAATATGTCTCTTTTTTTACATGCCGTTTTATTAAAACTCTTATAATCGCTTCTGTATCATGTACCTTCAAAATCAATGCAGAATTGTAATATTAAACTGGATAAGGAGGACACACCTCTCTTTTTTTATAGGAAATGTGTGTATTTGAATTGTATAAGAATATTGTAATGAAGTTTCTTTTTCAATAATTTCCATGTTATGTGACCCAGTGACAATGCAGAAATGTATTACTACAGTGGACATTACAAGTAGTAGGACACATATCTTTTGAATGGATTAAAGTCCACCTTCTATTTAAAATGAGAGTAGCCTACACTGGACAATTAGGACACAAAGCAGGACATGTCGTTTGGTCAGCTACATCGATGTATGGTTTCAGCACAAAACGTTGAAGTTAGCAAATAACTTTTTACCAATTATCATCGATATTTGGCACTGCACTGAATGCCACCTACCTTAAATAGTCTGTAGGAATAGTATAATGCTGTGGCAGACAAAACGATGTTGGAAAATGATGTTATCAACTCTGTTGCACAGGACGCCATTGATCCTGACGACGACTGGCACTCCTGCAAACATCCACGATGTTGGCAACGCTACCGTTACTAACGGCAACAATACGTTGTTTCTAACGAGTGTGTGTAAAGTGAACTACTAGACTGTTGCATGAATCTGACGGTGTTTTATAGTTGGCTAAACACAGAGAACAGAGGACCAAACTTTAGACAGGAACATGTTTGTTATGACACGTGACAACTCCGGATGTGGACAGTACGCATGCTCCAATAGACGCCTTTAATGCTCCTTGTAAACTCTGATTGTACCGTTCCAGAAACATAGGTGCAGGTGCAACAATAATTGTGAATTGTGTTTGGCTTTCTATTTTAAAGCCATATGTATTAGTTGCGTAGGCATACATATTTATGAATTTATGAATTGGATATGTATTGAATATAATGTATTTGATCAGATCTATCAGTATGGCAGACAAAATATTATTTTAACGGTAGAAAAATAATAGCTAATGTTAGTATGAGTAGCAAACAATTATGATATGCAGTCTTTGCGTTTAATCAGTAAAACAGATGGTGCACTGCACATCAATGTAAAGGTCAAACTGAAAGATGCTCTCGGTTTCTTCCGACAGTACCTGAAGGCAGCATGAGTTCGAAAAGTATGGCGGCGGAGAGTTTGACAACCATAACAGAGCAATGGATACGGGAGAGATTACAATTAAAACATCCCTGTCTTGGTAAGATGATCTAATTCTAATACAAGCGCTGTATGCGAATACATACAAGCGACTATTACAGGTCAAGCCATGGCGTTGAGCTTGTGTTGTTTTAAAACTATTTTAGCTAACCGTAGTTACTTTTCCAAACCTTAGCATTGACGGCTAAGCTAACGCCAGCTAACACAGCCACTAGCAATGACTGCAATCTGCTGCAAACCACATGCACCACAAGCTACTAATTCACTGCAGTCTCATAGTACATTTTGTTCTTTTAAACAGGTGATGTCCGCTCACTGAGCCTCCCGGGGACGTATGAAGAGAAGATCAGACATCTGGGAAATGCTCTGAATAACTTTGTCCGTCTGAAGTCTCTGGACCTCTCCTGTAACGCTATCGTCTGCATTGAGGTGGGTTTAAACCATTGACTATATTTAAAAGTTTAAACTCTGGATCAAGTCTTTAAGCTGTTAATGTGTTTGTGGGTGTTGAATTAAATTCCCCTATAAGGAAAACTGACAAAGTGTACTGTCCAGTAGTTTGTATCCTTTGTTTCTTAATTTGTTAAATATGGTTATAAATGCATTGTGTTTTTAACCAGTAAATGGCATTGAGATATCCGGCCCTGGCTGCCACATTAAAATCACAACACATATGCAATATGATTTACAAAAATGTACAATAAAACAAAAACACTTTTCAACACAAGTGCCTCAACCTTATGCTTCTGTCACCACATTCTTAATGATGCTCTTACATTTATTTGTTATGAATGTTTCTAATTGTAGATGTCTTTGTAGATTATTCCATGCTCAAAATGTATACTTGAAAATGCTGATCTGATATAAGATCAAATAAGATGTACTTTCTTAATCCCAATTTGGGACATTTACAATTTATTTTTTTGTATATCTGCTCATAACTGTTAACCTCTTTTCAAAACGGTATTGTTTCCTCCCCAGGGGGTTCAACATTTGAAAGTGCTTGAGAGGCTGATCCTGTACTATAACCACATTCCTTCCCTTGAAGAGGTGAACGTGGTGTACGAGCTGCCAGCTTTGAGAGAGCTGGACCTCAGACTCAATCCTCTGACTAAAAGATACCCACAATACCGCCCTTTCCTGGTGCATGCCATGCCCAACCTACGCAAACTAGGTAAAATATAACCACCTTCCCCAGTTTGGGCTTATCTCCGGTCAGTTTTCAATGCAACTGAGTGTCCTTTCTTGCTTTCTAGACAGCTGTCCAATCAGAGACACAGAGCGCAAAGTTGCTATAATGCAGTTCTCCTCTGACCTTCTACCTCAGCAGAAGAGCTCCTCTTTAAATCAGGTTGCTGAGCAAAGGTAAACTGGCAGACAAATGCTTGGGTTTTACTTTCATTTTGACTGAATAGGTCTACCTATGATCTTGAGAAAATGGAAAACACTCAACATTTATTTTGATGTACATTTTGTTAGAAAGGGAGTGACTCAAATGTTTGATTATGAAGAAAGGCAACACATACATATCACTGTAGAGCTTTTAAAGACAAAAGTGATGGTGCAAAAACACTCACTTACAGTTGCAGTTATCCAAACAAATATCTCACCTGTTATTCTCTCGAGTTGTATCATTCTGTGTTGCTTGTGTTTCACAGAAGCAGTGATCAGAGACTGGCTTTGGTTGACCGCTTAACCAGGAGGCTCTCTCTCCTGACGGACACCGATGATATTGTGTTGAATTTTGTTGCGAGGAATCATGAAGGGCAAAGTGACACTCAGTCCCACTCGGTTCACAAGGAGGCAGAAGGTAAGAGGTCAAAGTCAACAAACACATTTTCAGTTTAAAACCAACCAAGTGACATTTTTGTAACTTCTTTTCAAACTGTTTTCTGTCTCAGAATCAAACAACGAATCCAATGATTTTACAGAACTAAGGAGTTCTACTCCAAAACAGGTGATTTTTACTTCTGGTCAAACAATTATCAGTAGTATATTTACATTGTTATATATACTGCATTTGTTTTATTTTTAGGAATGGGCTAAATCCATCCTCAGGAATTCCCCTACAAATTATGGTAAGAGTCAGTTTGTGATATAGAGCTTTTCAAGCGCCTGTTTGTGGTTGTTTAGTAGCATGGAGATTTTAACAGTTGATAACATTTGAAGTATATTTGGCACCACTTTTTCTGTTGTTGCGATTTTAATAATAAAACCAGGAGTTGTTAATCCAAAATCTACTTTTTTTTATCGTAATTATAATCTGGTATTTTGATTATAATTGGTCACCAGTTCTGGATGAACACGGGATAAAATACTTTTAAAGATAATTGTAAATTATTCTTAATATCTCATTCTCTGTGTATATTCTCAGGTGTACTACCTGTGTTTATCTCGTATTCTGTTGCTGCTATAACACCTGCATTTCCCTTCAGGGATCAATAAAGCTCCAGTTTATCTTATCTCATCATTGTCCTCTTTTTCCACTAGGTGGAGACAAAAGCCAATTCTTGTTTTTATTATTATATTACTCTTGCTTTTAATCATGAACATGAGGGTAAATTAATTTCGGTGTATTATTGTGTCATTTATAATTTGACCAGATAACACAGAGTCCAAAGTGCCCCACGTGAAAGAACCATCTCATAAAAGAAGCTCTTCCACATTTAAAGCGACTGAAAGACCGAAGGTGTCCTTTGGCCCCTATGTAGAGAAACACAGACCTGTGTCTGGAAAGCAAAAGGACTTCGCCAAGCACACCAGGCAAGCAGCAAAGGGACATTATACCCCTAATCCTGGTAAGAATAATGTCTGTACTGAATACAATCCTTTGTCAGACATTAATACACATCCACAACCCACTTTCTTGACATGTAGTTAAATGTGTTTTCACATTTCTTTCAGATCCAAGTCATCGTCATAGTTCCTCATTAGTTAATATCCGGCCTCCCAGTCCACGTGGTCCTGGTTTGAATTTGTCCGACCCCTCCAACCCCATCTTACATCCTCCAAGACTGACCTACTCTAGTTTCAATAAGACAGAAGGGGAATCCAGCCTGCAGCCGCAAGGGGAGAAGAAAAAAAGGGTGGGAAATTAATTAAGTCTACTCTTATGCGTTTTTTGTTGTTGTTCTTCCTACTTGTACAAAATATATTTAAAGTTGTTTATTTTCTCTTATAAACAAATATCTTATCTCACATCCCAGGGTGGTTATAGGAAACCTCTGGAGATGCTCCTCAACCTCGTGGACAAACACTGGACTGGAGAGCAGTCGCTGCATCATAACAACAACTTCCTGTGTGAGTTTGGACTTTGGTTTGTGGAATGTCTTATCTGATTACAGGAGCCTAAAGATAATGAATGTCTTCTCATTATTCTATTTTTGGCTCTAGCTCAGGCAGTCCAGATCCTCTCCATGATGGAAAACGATATTTCCAGTCGGGAGGCAGAGGTCAGGACCTTAAGAAGGGAAGCTGATGCACTGAGCTTTCAAGCGGCTTCACGTGAGGACGAGCACAAAAGTGAAGTCCGTAACCTCTCCGATCAGCTGGAGGAAGCTCGCAGTGCAGTTGTGAGTGGATTCAACACTAGAAGGCAATGTTGAGCTTTATGAGGCCTTGATAGTTTTGATGAATTTACTGTCATTATTTCATTTTCTCAAACACAGGCCAAACTTAACGAGCAGCTGAGGATTGTCTTGGAGGAAAATGTCGGCCTACAGAAACAGCTCATCAAGTTAGAACGACAGTATCTGAAGTCCATGATGAAAAGTTCACCAATCTCTCAGATTAAAGGTGGGTGTGTACGCCAATTGGAGAAATTAAGGAGTGCTAATTAGGCTGCTTTCTTTAGAAAAACTCACACTTTGTCGTTAAAAATCCTCAGAGGCCCAGACTGAAGTGGAGGAGCTGAGGAAAGAAATCGAGGGGTTGAAGGAGAAAGTGCATGAGTCTGAGAAAGTCAAGGATTTGTCAAATATGTTGCATGAAAGCCACCGGTAAGAAGATGAAGACATCTTGGTGTTAATACTTGTTTTTAGGTTTTCACAATGAACGATGTTCTCACTTTTACACCAGCTCTACGTGGTTAGTTTATGATTTGTTTCTGTACTGCAGGTCTCTGGTGGCTACCAACAAGTGTTTGCTAGCTGAGCTGAAGGGAAGTGGAGAACTTTAAAGAGGAATGCACAGTGGGATAGACATTTCAAAGCAAGACTTTGCTGAGCGTCATATTAGCATTACATTCACTGCACAAGAACCTGCAGCTACAGACTATTTTTTAAAGCTTTTTTGACTTCATATCCTTTTTGATATGTGTGTATTAAGTTCCAAGCCCTTTTGGAAAAAAAATGTGTTTATTATTTAAACAGAAATCTGTATAGGCTGTGTTTGCTTGATGTAAACAGTAATGGGCAAAGGCAATTCATCCAAGGAAGTTTGTGTATAAGTGTGTGACAGGGCTGTTATGTTAAATGGTTTTAAGGGGGAAAATGTTAGTGAGAAGGTCATAATGTATTTCCTGGATCAGTAGCAAGATTGTGTCTCTCTGCTTTTCCCCTTTCTCTTTTTTGTAGGTCACTTGTGTCTGCTTTGTACGCTGCAGTGGAATGAATGCATCTAGATTCCAGCTGCACTGTGACTTTATTTATATCTCTGCCTTCGGGCTGGAGAGCTACACACACACAGATGCACTTTCCTCTCACAAGCACTAATGCGAGACCTGGCAAACCAGGTTAGCATGGGGATGCTACCACATAAACTGAATGTAGCTTGTTTTTATAAGTTAATATTACAGGTTAGTAACACTGAAACAGGGAGTTTCACGTACTCCTGAAAAAAAATATAAAACTGTGTTTTGACTGACACCCTGAAACATGCTCAGCAGAGGTTCTGGGGTTGGTTTTTATTTTAATGCACTACAAATCATGAACACACATTAAGAGGTCTAAAGAACAAGAACACACTGCATGCACCAGGGCACAATAGTACATTAAAAGTTATTTGCAAAATACAAAAGACATTAAAGGTGCACAGTATTTGGCATAAAGCACAGAAAACAGATCAAGCTACTGCAGCAGACACAACTAACACAGTAATAGCTGCTAGTTTTAATGCATGATTCTTCATTAGCTGAGGCTACAGGTAGTGTGTGACCAAAACACTGTCACTATGTTGGACAAATATTCTACAAAAGTATGTCACCTGTTTGCTGTTTTCCCTTTCATCTCATATATCACATAAGGATACAACAGTAAAACCCTGCTTTTGTTTTCAGTTGATTTTGTGCCTTGGATGACAGTACCGCACATAATGGGTACTCCTAATCTTTACCAACAGACAAATATATTAACGTTGGAGTGTAGCTGACTTTGTATGTACAAGTTGATACATATTGATTTCAAAGCAATACAATATTTTATCATAATCACACAATTTCACATCACTTAGTATTTTTTAGCAGTAAAATATTGAAGTCTGTCCTCACAGCAATAAGATATGACAAACTCCTGCTCGTCTATATGCTTCTGAATCAAATGCAATATACATAAACATGCACTAAGTACAGCAATACAGAAAACAACAACATATGTAGTTGTGTCATAAATTAAGCCATGTGGCTAAAACTTTTAGAATACACAATCTTACCACAAATATATTAGAACTAATGTATAGAAATCTAATGAGGAAGTAAAATGTTAAAAATACAATCTTGTACAACTGAGCTCATGTAATGTGGTAAGAGCTTAAACTGAATTCACTCATTTCAAATTCAAAATGCATGTTGGCAAAAGAGGAAATATATTATCTTAGATTACTTTAGATTTTTTTATTGAAGTGTTATAATCAGGCATATTTAAAAAGGTTTACATGGAAGGAGTTTATATGTTTAACAAAAGTAAGAGGATATGGCAAAAGTCCAAAATGTTCAGTTAACTACTTTTTATCTAAGCAAAACATTTCTAAATTCTTAAGATATTTTCTTGGTTTGAGCTGAAGGCAAATAATACAAATAACAGTGTGAGCTTCTAAAATAAAAAAATGAACAGCAGGTTATTTTTAAGACTTAATAACAGTTGACAAGTGGGGATGGCAGACTGACAATTAACACATAGATGGAACAATTTAAGTTTTCAAAAGAATTCAACATTGATAATATCTCTGTCAAAAGTGTGCCAATTCCCATTGAAACGATGCACAACAAATACAAAATGCATTTCTTCAGCTAAATAGGGGAATAGAAAAATCTCCATTAAAAAGTGCAATGTTGTTAATTCGTTCAACTGTTGTCCCACTTTTCTTTTGTTTTTCTTGGCTTGTTGTTCACTGTGCTCAATAAATATTATAAGGCCCTATCATGACACAAATCTTTAATATTCATAGCGTAAGTTTCTCTCGTTTGTTCTCTTCAGTGTTTGGCAGTAACTTGCGATCAGACAGGAATGTACCAGCTGGTGATGACATTGTAAAAATAGATGTAAACAGTTTTCCAGTTCTCACACTTCTCAAAGAGAGGAACTCAAAAACAACTCTTCTACACGCACACAGACACACGCACACACAAAATAGATGGCTGGGGAAATCCTATATAATATGAAATCCTATTCTTTTGTGCTTTCCTTGAGTACTCTTTTAATAGAAAATTATCCTAGTAGTTGTCCAAATGTTTATTTCCTTACCCGCCCTCACATGGGTTTGCCCTAAGCAAGTTTATTCAATTTCTTTTCGTACGTTCCTCGATGTTTATACCCTGAGACGTATCCAGAAGTGTCAACCACGTCCACTCGTCCAGCCTTACCCTTCCCCCGGCCAGTGTCGTCAAAACGCTCCTTGTGTGACCCTGTGAACTTGGTTGGGTCCGTCAGACGGCTCACTGTTGGGGAAGCCACGGCCCTCTGTGAGGAAGTCAAGAAAACATTTAAGGTTATCCCAAGACTCCTGGTTTAAAAAGTCTAATATTGACCCATTTAAAGGTCTCCTATTATAACATTTTTAGGCATATATTATAGGTCTCAGATATATAAAAAACATGTCTATGAAGTGTTTTGCTCAAAATACCAAACAGATCACGCATTCTAGCCATGCCTCATACCCCTCTATTTCAACCCTGTTAGTAAATTGCTGATTCTGGGTCTGTAGCTTTAAATGTGGCTGAGCTGCTGCTGGCCAGGCCCCTTTGGAGCATGCATGAGCTCTGTGAAGTGAAAGGTTTCCACCCAGATTCTCAGCTAAATGCTGCCGTGATTAAAAGACATATTATGTTCCAAACCACATCAAGGATTATTCCTGAAACAGTATGGAGCTCAAATGCTTTTTCTCTTGCAGGCTTAGGTGAGTACCTTCTTATATCTGGCTTTTTTACACATACTCTCTCCAGTACAGCGTTAGCTCTGAGTGTTAGCAATGCTTGCTAATGTAAAAACCTGCTAAAAACAGACCATATTACTTCCAAAACACGTTGCGCATTGTTACTGATACAGCAACGTTTCTGATAGGGCCGTGGGTGTAAAGCCAGCCCACATTTTAGTAATGTCGTCATGACCGCAGCAAATCTGGTTCAGCTCTGTTGTACCCCCGCTTTTAGAGATATTGGTCAAAACTAAAAGAGAAAGGGTCGTATTTTCGGACATATTGTGAGTCTCCTGACACACCGGAGACATATATTTATGTATAAAATACATCATTTCTTTTTTGCATTATAGGGGACCTTTAAGTCTTACCGTGACTCCTGCAATGACGGGCGTCTTTCCCTCAATCAGCTTGAAGACCTCGGCCTCTGCCTCCTCTCCAGTCTTTTCTTTGTATTTCTTTCTTGCCAGCTCAGCAAGTGCAGCCCTGAACTCGTCGTATGTGATGGTGCGACAGGATTTCTTCCTGTAATAAGGGTGGAAAAGGAGCTTAAGTATGGGATAACACTTGTAAAAACTAGTTTCTAGGGACAGAAAAGTCATATTTTTATCAGCTTTTCTCCAGCCTCTCAGTAAAGTTTGAAAGCTTAAAAGTAGACAGTAGTGTACACAGAGCCATGTGTGATCACTTCAACATGGCAGATGTAAGACAGCATGGAGATGGTATCCTGCTGAGATAAACAGTGGGAAAACTTTCACTGGTTTGTTGTTGTCGCCCTGTACTCAACTGTTGTCTGAGCAACCGCACACATTTACACACACCTGTCAGCTGTATAGTGACTGTCTCTTCATATCATGGATCATATTGTCCAGTTTTACACTTCAGCTGCAGTCAGGATCCAGCACCCTGATGTTTTTCATTCCAGCTCTGGACATTTCAACCTGCTGAATCCTTGTATTCATAAATAAAATAAAATGTTGTAACTACTGAGTACTGTACCACAGATCATCATCATAAATCACTCTCCTTCAGAGTGCTCCAGTTGTTTGACTGGCCCTTTGCCGGTTTTACTTCCATGTAAAAAGTGCATAGTAACACAAACAAACAGCCATTGCCGTGGTAATAAATCACCTAAACAACAGTCCATAAAACCCGCAGTCCTGCTGGGCAACCTGCTGTCATGGCAACAAGCTACAGTAAACAGAGATGTTTAGGTTTATTATTAATTTGACTCATCTAGTGAGCGGTTTTGTTTGGGCGATCCATCAGTGTTGAACATTTGAGAGCCCCATTCTGCGCCTGTTCCATGCTGTCGATTGTCAGAGAGGGGAACTGGACTTCCAGCTGCCGCTTCTGTCCGAGCAAGATAACTGTGTCCTCTGCACATCTCCCCACACTGAGCTATTACATTCCCCCAAGCGCATACATTATTTAACTGTGTAAATAAACAGTAAATCACAATCTGATCTGGCTGTGATAAGGTAAGGAACGACAAAGGTTATAGGGCGGGTGGAGCTTTATTTTATTTCTGGTTACTGTGGTATCTGACCTGCTGTTTATTTACATAGTTCAACCATCTGCAGTTCATGATCCATATGGAACTGACACAGTAGTTGGCTGAATCTGTGTCATGCTAATACGCTCCTGCACCGCCTAGGATCATGTTCAGTGATGAGAAAATACAACGAAAGCCTAGAAAAAGAAGCCACCATAACACCATGTGTGCAGTTAATTAGTCAACACCAGATTATTTTCTCATCCATAGTTAAAGCTGTGGTGTTCTGGCTCAAAGCAGAGTAACAACACAGCAGAGACTGAATGTGGAGCAGCAGACTTCCACACCCACAACAGATACAGATTCATTCGGCCGTACTGTGATTAGCCAGTGCTAATTAGGATGTTTAATTTTTCGTGTGCAAGCAAAGAGCTTTGACACTGATTAAAGGCAAAGTGGAGATCTGCATCTGTGGCATGGCAGCCCTCCCCGGCTCAGTCATGCTTGGAGTCAGAAAAGACACGAGCCCTTCCCCCAGTCTGTACCTCTGGCTCACCACACGCTTTGTCGGAAAGTATACTGTAATATCCTCCTCGACACGGCTGTGGTTCAGAAAGCAAGCTATCTGGGACCCTCAGTAGAACCAATGACTATGTGTTAACATAGTGTGCTGTAATGTGTAAACAACATTACACAGATTCATGTATGACAGGAAACATGTTTTTTTCCCCTAAAGTGCTTGCACCATATTTTTAAGCATATTTCTAAATATTGCTGTCCAAAGGAGTGGGATCAAGCTTAAAACAAGCTTAAATCATGCTGTCATCTTTAAGTTTACTTGATATTCTTGCCAAGAAATGTTAACGACAGTAAACATTGACAACCATTGCCATGCCAACAGTAAAGGTGTTGACTGGTGTCTGACTCACCACGTGAAAAACCAGTATACTTTTTATGCTTTATAAACACATCTCAAGCTTACTGTAAAAAGGGATGGCTGAAATAATTGAGTTTGTTATTATCTTTCAACAGAGAATGTCCATTATTATTTGCTACAAATCATGAAAACATGCAGACTTCAAGAACCTGTTTTTATGGTTTAGTTTGCATTTTCTATTCTGCAGCCAAATCTTATTTAGAAAATGTTTGAACATAGGGTTGTGACAATCTGGCTTCCTCTTTGAGACAGACGTTTTTCTGTGCTTTTGACTATTTATGATACAAGCTTACAATATTTAGGCTGTTTATTTTTTTAACTAACTGGTGGTGTGTCAATTGATTTTAAAGTACAATACTTATATTATTTCTGTATTTCTTTCGATGTGATACACAACACATCTGAAATTCCTCAAATATAGCCATTTCACACATACTCTTCATAACTGTTGAAGTCAGTAAGTCCTAGTTTGATGGAAATACATTTTTAGGACTA